AAAAAAAAAACAATGAGGAACATGTTCATACAAATATTTGGGTGAACATATTTTTAATTTTTCTTGGATAAATACTAAAAGAAGTACTACTAAGTCATATTAATTGAACGTAACTGCATGTTTGATGCTTTGTGAATCTGCCAAAGTATTTTTCAAAGTGGTTGTACCCTTTCATATTTCCACTAGCAATGTTTGAAAGTTCCAATTGCTCTGCATACTTACCAGTACTTGGTATTGTTAGTTTGTTTTTGTTTTTAATTATAGCTATTCTTAGGAGCCATTTAATGGTTTTTCTTGCAATTCTAATTTGCATCTCCCTAATAATTAATGGTACTGAGCATCTTTTCATTTACTTGCCATTATCCACAGATCCATTTTGGTGAAGTATTTATTGAAATCTTTTACCCTTATTTAATTGAGCTATCTCTTTTTTTGTTTTGTTTTGTTTGTTAAAGAGTTATTTATATGTCCTGGATTCAAATCCTTTGTTGGTTATGTCTTATAGTCTGAAAAAGCTGACCTTTTCATTTTCTTGGCACCTTTTTTTGAAGAACAAAATTTTTAATATTTGATGAAGTCTAATTCAACAATTTTCCCTTTCATAATATGTAATTTGGGATTCTAAAGAAATCTTCTTTGCCTAATTTGAGATCCTGTTTTCTTCAAGAAGTTTTATGGTTTGATGTTTACATTTAGCTCTATGATCCAGTTTAAGTTCATTTTTGCATATGATGTTAGCTAAGAACTTTTTTTTTTTTTGGCATAGGGATATTCAATTGTCCCTGCAAAATTTGTTGAAAATACAATCCTTTCTACATTGAATTAATTTGCTTTCACATCCATTTGAAAATAAATTGGCCATATGACTTTGAGTGTATTTCTGGAATTCTTTTTCTGTTCCATTTACTTACATGTCTACCCTTATGTCAATACTACAGGATTTGATTACTGTAGCTTTAGAATGAGTCCTGAAGTCAGGTAGTAAGGCCTACAATTTTGATTCTCTTTTTCAAAATGCTTTTAGCTCTTTTAGGCCCTGTGCTTTAGGAAACTTCTTTGATCTTTAATATTAGCCACTTTTTAAAAATTTGTTTCACAGAGGAAGGGAGAGGGAGAGAGAGAGAGAAACATCAATGATGAGAGAGAATTGCTGATCAGCTGACTCCTGCACACCCCCTACTGGGGATGGAGCCTGCTACCTAGGCACATGCCCTTGACTAAAATCAAACCTGTGACCCATCAGTTCGCAGACCAATGTTCTATCCACTGAGCCAATCTGGCTAGGGCCATTTTAGCCACTTTTAAGATCATGTCACTTTCCAAGGTTCCTACTGAGCTCCAGCCATATGGCTATGTTAGGGCCTAGGCCAGTGATGGCGAACCTTTTGAGCTCGGCTTGCCAGCATTTTGAAAAAGCCTAACTTAACTCTGGTGCACTGTTACATATAGAAATTTTTTGATCTTTGCAGCCGCAGATATTCTGTTAGTAAATTAAGAATTAAAATGGGTATCTGGAACATGACATGAAGAATTTATTTCAGTAACTCTTTAAAAGGTGTTGAAAGTCCCTTTGGAACCGGTGTGACCAATATTCGTAAATGTTCTAGGTCACTTTAAAATATGTACATTTGAACTCCTTGCTGGGTTCCGGCTTCTCCCTTCATAAAGGCTCTTTATCAAGCACACTGTTTAAATTTACTGGATCCGTGGTAAATTAGGTTGTATTTGTTCCATCATGTTGGATAGAGATGTGTTAAGTTTTCCAAATGATTACATTTGCCAACTCCTCCATGTTCTGTTGTTTTACATTAAAATTTTGATGCCTTTTATGATTGTTATAACTTAGATACCTTCTTATTTTATAGTTCCCCTTTATCCTTATCAATGCTTTTAACCTTCAAATCTTTTTTTTTCAGGATGCTAATATGGCTACATTAACTTTTATAGTTTTTACCCCTTTTCATAGATTCCCACCCCATGCAACTTTGTTTTATGTCTCTTGTAAAAACACAGCTTTTTGTAATTTTCTCAGATATTTCTCACCTTTAAATAGTTATGCTTTATTTGGTACTTTCATTATGATCCCTGATATATGTGGACTTATACATCTATATTATTGCTAACCATTATTTTTGTATGTTTCTGTGTCTCTTTCCTACTTTCTGAATGATTGAGATAGAATTCTATATTCTACCTTTTTCTCCACTGGTTGGAAACTGGAGGTAAAATTTCTATAATTTCTTTAACCATGCCTTAATTTCAACAGATGACAAGGATCTTAGCATGGATTCCCTCAATCTCAACATCCCATCTCCATCATTTAGCTATTGTTACTAATTTTCTTCTCATAAATTTTGAAACATTATCATTTACTTAAATTTTTCATCATTTTATTCACATCATTTTATGTTTCTTTTTTTGGTTTCAACTTTGGTCTAGCTGAATAAATCCTTGGTTCTTTTAGTGAGAGTGTCTAAGTGTTATATGTGCAAATTTGCCTTTATTTTGAAAGAATTTTTAATTGATTTTTCTATAGAGAGAAGAAGATAGGTGATAGATAGATAGGTAGATAGAAATCTATGTGGAAGAGAAATATCGATCAGTTGCCTCTTGTATGGGCTCCAACTGACCGGGGAGCAAACCAACAACCTAGTAATGTGCCCTGATAGGAATCAAACACACAGCCTTTCTGTGCTAGGGACGGCACTCCAACCAACTGAGCCACACTGTACAGAAAGAATTTTTTGCCAAGATTAAAAAATTCTAAGTCAATGTTTATTTCTTTTTACTATGCTAATATGATCACTGCATTGTCTTCTAGACTCTATTGCAGTGATGATGTGTGTCAGAGGTGACACGGGAACTCCTTTTTTGGTTGATTTTTCTGTTAAATGGCATTTAAAATATAAAATAAATTTCAAAAATATAAATCTTGCCAAAACCGGCTTGGCTCAGTGGATAGAGCGTCGACCTGCGGACTGAAAGGTCCCGGGTTCGATTCCGGTCAAGGGCATGTACGTTGGTTGCGGGCTCACCCCCAGTAGGAGATGTGCAGGAGGCAGCTGGTCGATGATTCTCTCTCATCGATGTTTCTAGCTCTCTATCCCTCTCCCTTCCTCTCTGTAAAAAATCAATAAAATATATTTTAAAAAAATATATAAATCTTTGTTTTACTATGGTTGCAAAGATCAAAAAATTTCTATATGTGACACGACACCAGAGTTAAGTTAGAGTTTCTCTAAATGCTGACACACCGAGCTCAAAAGTTTCCCCATCACTGCTCTATTGTGTGGCTGATGAATATTCTCCTTGGGTTTTAACTGTCATTTTTTGGTTAATAAGCTATTTTTCTTGCCAAAATATCTTTTTCCAACTTTTGAATTATGAAAACTTTAAGGCTACTGAAAAACTTGAACAATTTTACAGTAAACATAGACTCACAATTAGCATGTACTGTGCTTACTTTATCTCATTTTTGTCCATCTATCCATTTCTCGATTCATCCACTAACCATCCTCAACTTTGAAACATTTTAAAGTTGCAGACAATAATACACTTCCCCCAAAACACTTTAGCATGCATATCATTAACTAGATTCAATATTTGTTTGTATTTCTTTTTCTTTTAGATAAAATTTACAATGAGATGTACAAATACTAGATATTTCATTCTATGGATTCTTATTAAAGGGTTCTCCTGTAAAATCCTAATTGTTATCAAGAGACAAAATATGACCATCACCCTAGAACTTAAACAGCTCTCCTCTGAGGAGGACACTTTACTATCCTGGGATAATTAAGAGGGAGATGCTCTCTATTTTATACTGGTCAGAAAATAAATTTGCCCTCTGACTTGGGGAGCTACATTAACTCTAGCTTCAAAAATCTTTGCTATTCACACATCTTTGAAAAGATACTCTGGGGCATGTGGAATTGCATGGCGAATTGGGTACCAACAAATTCACCTCACAAAGCACATTCTGGCTATTTCCCTGTGAGGACACCACTCCACCAGCCAAGATTAACCTGACCCCTGGAGTCTAGTAGTATATTCATTCAAATTGTTTCCTTCAGAATTTAACAAATGTCCTAAACCATAATTTCTTAGGTCTCCTATGACCACCGCTATGGTGCAAGTCACCATGGTTGCATGAGGGAGGCAAGTGAATGTCAGGCTTTCACACAGGAAATGCAATCCCAATGGCACACATGGTGATCCTGAAACAGAAGCATTTATACTTGTTCAGGTTCCTGAGGGGAATATATCAGCCATGGGTAGGGTTGGTCCCTGATCACCTGTAGCCTTAAAATTTTCAGCTCTGTTCATTGTTGATGGGTTTTGGAAAGAGATGGGGGCAATACAGTCTATCCAATCTGTTCTATTTCTTCATGATGTCTCCCGCAACCCTTCATCCAATGACTGAGAATCAGTGAGGGGACCATGTCCAGAAATGTTCTGCCTGGGAGATGCTAATGCTGGCAGCAGCCCCTGATTCCTCACATCTGATGCTGAATTGCAGAATCAGCATCTACATATGTGGTGGGAGAATAAGACAAGAGTGATTTCTTTCAGGACAGTCTTGAAAGACAAATATGGTTAGTGCTCTTCCACCTCCCATACCTCCTAGGTATTGCATCCTCAGGTGCCTGGATCTTTTGCTCTTCCTTCACTACGAAAAATATTGTGGGGGTGGGGGAGAGGAGGAGAGATAAAATATATTGTGTACCATTCATCTCTTCATCTTTGATTCCAATAATCTCATATTGTCACTCACATTTTTCATCCGGAAGGATCAGATACAAGCAGGGAAACAGCATTTCCAAAAAAATATAACCAAAATTATATCTGAAATCTCTAGACACTCTGAAGAGTGGGGAAGAACAATGCATCCTCACCAGCAATGGTCAGAACAGAATCCAGATTTTCATAATTGATCTATATAATGCTATTAATTCCCCACCACTTTTGTCCTTATACAAGGCAGGAAGGAGCTGATCCCTTTCTGCCTAGATTGGGGAAAGATGCCTACGGAGACAAAATACCCATAATAGAGAAATGTGTGGACAGGAGGAGACGACGTCATGGAGTTAGATTATCAGAGCATTCCGTGTAGCTTTTTATCAAGGGCACACCATTGTCAAACTGTAATGGTCAAGCAAGTCATGCAATTTGCAGATTGTTCTTGAGCTTCCTCAGCTCCTCTTTCAGCTTTGGAGAATAACCAAAATTATATCTGAAATCTCTAGACACTCTGAAGAGTGGGGAAGAACAATGCATCCTCACCAGCAATGGTCAGAACAGAATGCAGATATTCGCAATTGGTCTATATAATGCTATTAATTCCCCACCACTTTTGTCCTTATACAAGGCAGGAAGGAGCTGATCCCTTTCTGCCTAGATTGGGGAAAGATGCCTACGGAGACAAAATACCCATAATAGAGAAATGTGTGGACAGGAGGAGACGACGTCATGGAGTTAGATTATCAGAGCATTCCGTGTAGCTTTTTATCAAGGGCACACCATTGTCAAACTGTAATGGTCAAGCAAGTCATGCAATTTGCAGATTGTTCTTGAGCTTCCTCAGCTCCTCTTTCAGCTTTGGAGAAAGTTGATGTGAGGGACAAATGAGGCAAAGTAGAGAACATGACTAGCAGGTAGACACTATCTTCAGGGTTAAGTCATCATTATCCTCTCCCTGAGTCAGAGATCAAACAGGGAGATACAAATATAGTCTCTGATTCTGTCTCCAGCTACCTAACTGCACTGGAAGAGCATAGATGGAGACCTTCCTTCAGAACGGGACAGCAGCTGTAGGTTTCATTGTCATGAAAGAATCAGGGGAAGGGATGACTGCATTGAGAGTTACTACAGTTTTATAGAAGCCTGGTAGCACTCTGCTAAGGCATTCTGATTGTGTGAGATTTGAGAGGTGAGATGAAGGTAGGCATTCTTTTGTTGTGCATCAAAAATGCCACTGGGCACATGCCACTGGGCACATGCCAATGACAGAAAGACTTTGAAACTCTGAAGATTTGTGGCATAAAGTTTCGTAAGTACTCCTATGTCTTCATAGAAACAATCTCAACATGGGAGGAAGTTGTATTTGTGCAGTTGTAAAATGAGACACCATGAAGAATCTTCTTTCTCAGGGGGAAAAATGCACACAGATGTGGAAGTGGATTATACGGCTGAAATCCTTCCTGTGACCTGTGGGGAGATGGTGGGCATGTTAATTAAGAGAAAATTGAAACGAGGTAAGTTTCAAGGTCTACTTTCACTTATAAGCCCTCCATGAAGGAATCACGAGAAGTAATGGAATTACCCATGTAAATTACCCATTGTTTAAGGAATTGGGGCCCCAATTTTGTCTTGAGAAGAGGTAGCGCTCTCTAAGATGATGTTTTTATACTTTAAGAAATGGTACATATTGTGTTCACTTCCACATGGATGTATCCATGAGGATGCCCAAGGAACCAAAGAGAAGTGCAGAAATGTCAGTCTGTGGATGGAAAATATTGCATACTTTATTTTGAATCAGCCTCCACCTTCATATCCTATACCCCTTCTGGAAACCATCAACAAGACAGGGTGTTTGTTGTAGTGAGGAGTTCACAAAATTTAGAATCAGAAAACCTGAGTCCCAGCCTCAGCTCTACCAAGAGTGACTTAGTAAAGATTGGGACTTTTCTGAGCCTGAAACTTCTCATCTAATAAATGGATAATAATTAAAAACCTGCCTCCTGGTGTGACTTTGAGACAATGTACATAATGACTGTAAATGTTTTCTGATTTGAACATTATAAAGCTTTCAAATAGTTGTCTATTATGATGAACTCCATATCAGATTAGTCTTAATGTGGGTATGTGAATAAATAATATGTTTGCATCAAAACTATTTTTAAACAGCTTTACTGAGATATAACTCACATATATACTACTAATTCACCATTTTAAGTGTAGAATTCACTGTTGAGCTTTTTGTTTCTGTTTTGTTTATTCACAAGATTATACAACCATCATTACAATCTAATTTTAGAACAGTTTTGTCCCCCACTAAAGGAAACACCATGTCTCTCAGGAGTCAATACCGACTCCCACCTCACCCCACCATGCAGCCCTATGCAACCACTCATCTATTTTATGATCTATATACTGGCCTATCCTATATATTTCATATCAATTGACTCATATAACATGTGCCTTTTGGTGACTGGTTTTCACTCAGCATTATGTTTTCCAGGTTCATATGTATATATCATCCATTATACTTTATTCTTTTTTATTGTCAAATAATATAATAGCCCATGGTGTGGAGACACAGTAACGCATTTATCTATCAGTTTAGGTTTTCTCACCCTTTCACTATTATGAATAATGCTGTTTTGAATAAAGATTTTGGTGAACCTGGTTTTTTAATTCTTTTCACTAAATACTCTGGAGTGGAATTGCAGGATTATATGGCAATTCAATGTTGAACTTATTGAGAAAAATCAAAATTATTTTCCACAGTATGGCACAAGTTTATATTCCCACCAGTAAAATCTGAGTGCTCTCATTTCTCTGCATCCTCACCAACACTGCTTATTGTCTATCTTTTTCATTATAGCCATCCTAGAAGGTGTGACGTAGTATCTAAATGAGGTTTTTATTTTATTTTCTCTAATGAATAATGTTATTAAGTCTATGACTATCTTTTATCTATATATAAGTAAAATTTTCCACTGAATAATATTTCATAATTACTTTAAAGTCAGTTATCCATGATTCCACATAAGAAAAATATCAGCCCAATAATGCCATTGAACTGGAAGGAAATCATTGTAATACAGGGCACAGATGTTGCCTTAGTGTCAGTGAGAGCAGCAGGGCAGGGCCTCCATTTCAGATTTCACTCCAAAGTAGAAAATCTCCTTACATGGTATTTACAGGCTGGGTTTGGGGATTCTCAAGTATAAAAGGTGAGGCTACACTCTTCTGCTAGTGATCTTGAACCCAAATTGGGTGCCTGTAGATCCAGTGTCTGAGCTCTGAGGACAAGGAGGTGTCAGGATCAACTTATCCCGGTCTTACAGGAGCCACGGTGAAGTGTATAAGGAGAGAGGATGGAAATTGGTACACCCCCAGGGAATTTGAAGTTGAAGGAGGCTATGAAAAATTAAGTAACTGGAAGAACAGTGTGTACTGCGCTGGGACACCCCTAAGATTCCTGAAAGAGGTATTCCAGTGATTTTCCTTGTTGTATTTGAAGAAAAGGTCACTATTTGCTCACCAAATATATGTTGTGTCATGGCTAGAGCCCTGAGGTCCCCTAACATTATCCTTTCCTGGAGGGAGGCACCCCACACTCATAAGTCAGGACAAGACAGCACATTGATGTTGTCAAAGGGGCTCGGTTGGGGCAGGAGCCTGGAGGAGGGAAAGGTCATTCTGACTGAGGTGCTTGCAGACAACTTTAGCCACTGAAAGAAAGGAGACAGTTTATGCCAAACAAGTGGTCAGAAGGCACTCGAGAGAAAGAATGTTGTAAAAACCAGAACCATGACTAACCTGGTTCCTCAGATTGAGGTAGATGGATTGTGTGTGATAAGGCATAATCCATCAATTGGGGCGGGGGGGTGGGAGGGTTGGAGGGATTTAATGCCAAGCTAAGGATTTTAAACTCATAGCATAGACCAGAGATGGCGAAACTTTTGAGCTCAGCGTGTCAGCATTTTGAAAAACCCTAACTTAACTCTGGTGCCGTGTCACATATAGAAACGTCTTGATATTTGCAACCATAGTAAAACAAAGATTTATATTTTTGATATTATTTTATACATTTAAATGCCATTTAACAAAGAAAAATCAACCAAAAAAATGAGTTTGCGTGTCACCTCTGACACGCTTGTCATAGGTTCGCCATCACTGACATAGACAATGCAGAACCTGAGGTGTGAAATGACATATGTGAAACAGTATCTCAGACAACATGGGGCCTGCAAATGACTTCACTGTCTTTCAGCCCAAGATACCTATAGTGAACCTACAATGCTCAGCTCTAATGTCACCCCTCTCTGAATATTCCCTGACTGACCTGCCTTGTCATCCCTTCTCTGGCCTCTCTGACCACACTATTAAGGCCCTTCTCACAGTTTTATACTTATCCTTTCATGCAAACCCTTGCTCTCCTAGATCCCTCTAGGGTTTATACATCTTTGTGTGCCCAACATTGTGCAGAGTATCTGACACGCAATAGCTGTGGGACAAGTATGTGTAAGTTGAACAGCCCTGGTGTGAGGAAATAACTTGAGTGGCACTGGTGGGAATGGAAAGGAAGTGAAAGCTGTCAAAAAGATTGTGAAGGAAATGAAAACTTAAGTAAATAAGAACACAAAAGAAAAGGAAAAAATTCTAAGAAGGATTTTCCAGCTACTATTAATGAATTCTAGAAGAACAGCTGAGGAGAGGAAGATGGTTTCTCATTTAGACATCTTGGTTTGATCTGACAGTGGAATATCCAAATAGAAATATTTGGGAGGAGGTTGTAATGCCAGACCCACAAAACATAAACACAAGCTAACGATACACTTGGATCTTTTACTCTTTCAGTATCTACCTGAACTTCCAGGAAAAGGTGGCGTGAAGAAAAAGGTGATTATTACTTTATACAAGTCCATCCAATTGTCTGTCTCCAAGGACAATTGTATATGTATCCAAGTCTATTGGTTGATCTCTTCCCACCCACCCTCCACTGCCTTCCCTCTAAGGTTCAACAGACTGTTCATGCTTCTATGTCTCGGAGGTCTATTTTTGTTCATCAGTTTATTTGTTATTATATCCCACATATGAGTGAGATCATGTGATACTTAGAATTGTTAAAATGACTCCAGACGATTTTGATACACAACTTACTCATTCTATGACTTAAGGAGAATACTAACGCCTGTGCCTCAAACTAGACCAACTGATTCAGCATCTATGATGTTGGGACCAGGAATTTAGTATTTTATATACTCTCCTCTGAAAATTCAAATGTACAGCCAAGCTAAGACACAAAGAGCCAAAGGGAAAAGGCCCTAGACTTGATTACAGATAGGGATGCAAGATTCTTGTGCACTGGCTACATTTGTTATTTCCTTGCTCTTCTGGGAAGATGGTTACCAATCTCTGGAGAATGATGATAGCAGTCTGTGAGTGCTTACAGTGAGGAGAAGGAAAATGGCCCCAGGCCTCCATGTTAGACCCAGTCTCAATCTCCATTAAGGATGTGGTTCAGGATTCTCTGGAACACTGAATGGGAGCTGTTGGCCAGATGTTCCTTGAGCTTTGCACTTTCTCATATATGGCCATTTTTAAAGCGAAAGAAATGACCAGAATACTGATTCTCCCCAGATAAGAATTTTCACCCTAAAGCCAGAGTGACTTTTCATCTTTTATTACTTTCTGCATGAAGAGAAACAACATAGCTGTGTTGCACATTACTGTGCCCATTTACTTCAAGATGGACATTTGTGATCTTTGTGGGCTGCTAACAGAGATATAATACAGACTTTGAGAAACAGAACACTTTTCTCTATGTATTAAGGTGAAAGCATTCATTAGGGTCTTAGCATCCCTGTACACAGTGGACCCTAAAGAGATGGAACTAACAAAAGAAGCTTAACCATTACTGTGAAAAGGAGTGGGCATAATAGGATTTGGAATGTGAGTGAGAGTATAGACCAAGGATGTATTCTCAGGTTTGTGGTCAAAGGCAAATATTTTATGAAATGGAAGCACCAGGAAAGAACAGGTAGTGGGTGTGGGGACAGGATTATACATTGTAATTCTTTTCACTAAATACTCTGGAGTGGAATTGCAGGATTATATGGCAATTCAATGTTGAACTTATTGAGAAAAATCAAAATTATTTTCCACAGTATGGCACACATGGGAATGTAACTGCAGCTTTGAGAGTCATTTGATTATCTGGGGCAATCAAATGGCCAAATATCTAAACCTCAGGGATTCCGTCTAAGTGATAGAAGAGGAGAGGACAAAAAGGGAAACAGATAGAGCAGTGAGGCTGATTGACTAAACCCAGGAGAGTAATGGCACCAACCCCATGTGCTTGGAGAAAGGAGAAATGGTCCTGGCAGAGAAAAGTGGGCACTGTCATCCCTACCTCTTCCTGCTCCTCAATGGACCACATTCCCTCCACCCAGCACTCATCAATGGGGGCCAGTCCCCAATTCAGTCTCATTTGTGTCACTGAGATGGTCACAAGAGGGTAGGAATTTCTCCAATAAACAATGGGATAGATAGGATGTTTCTATCTATAGAGCAACCCAGAATCTTCTGGGTTCTCTAAGAAGGCAGAACCAGGAAAGCAACCAGGAGCAAATATAGTTCCTGATAGTTCCTGATTCATACGTAAATGCTGATTCTCATTTAAAAGAAAGAATAAAGGGGTTTTCTATTTTAATCACCTCCTTTTCACCCCATTGGTGAGGGAGGGATGTCTACCACACAGTTTGGGGGACAGCAAGTAATGGCATCTGTCACTGGACAGATGGATTGACAGATATTTATTAGTCACATATACTCCTAAACCAAGGAAGGAGGGCAGTGCCAGCCATGCAGGCCTCATCAAGGTTGCCCTCAGGAACAGAGGGAGCAACCAGGGGCTGTGGAAGGTGGGTTATCCCCTGGTTTCCCTGGAAGGTTATGGCATGCTTGTTTAAATAATTTCATGGCTGACAGGGAACTGAAGCTTGGTATTCCAGGCTGAGCAGGGTTACACATGGCCCCTTGACAAGAAGCATTGTTTAGCTGTGGGACCTTATCCAGGAGAGCAGATTGGAAAGTGGCACTTGCAGGTAGGCTGTTAAACACCTTCTCAAGTTTACCAAATGTCACAACAGCACATAATATTGAACTTTAATATTAATCCTTACAGTGCATTTTCTTGATTAGGATAGGGCTCAGGCACAGGCTAGCTATTTCCATGAATACATATGTTTGTATATAACACAGTGTATCTTCATATCTGCTCTATAAATTTGGTTGAGTTCAATGAATAGATGTTATGCCACAGGATTTGGATGGAAATACTGTCAAATTTTATCTTCTTCAAATGAAATTAAACGTGGTTAATCGCCACATATTGAGACTGGTAAGAAATCCAGTATCAGTTGTTTAAGGGAGTCCCTCCCTATCCTATCTAATAATAGACAAACATTGTAATTGACCATACCTCTGCTACGCTTCCCATTGGCTAATCAGCAGGATATGCAAATTAACTGCCAACGATGGTGGCCGCCGGCAGCCACGCAGCTGAAGTGAACAGGAGGCTTGCTTGCTCCAGTGATGGAGGAAGCCA